GTGAGAGAAGTATTCTCCCCTCACGCCGCAACGTATCTCGCCGCACCCTCGTTCTCACGTCTCGGGGTTGATCGCTGCGGGCGGCAGGTGTAAGAACAGGATAAAATGTACATTTGTTGTTACACCAAAGTGTATATGTGTGTGTCTACGTCTTATCGTACGCGTCGTGCCATTGTTTCTACGTATCATTCATCCCCGGTGCGAAATACCGGGACGGTAATCGCGAAATCTGTGATCCGGGGTGTAATTACTCCTCCGCGGCGAACAGATAACCAACGGGGATTCGTGAAATTTTCATGCCGCAGATAAGCAGAAGTGGATCACACACAGCAGATCGTGACGTGAGATTGTCTGCGGCGGGGGAGGCTCACGTAAGATTAATTTTCTCGTATCTCCGGCGTATCGTAGGCCCAGTTCGCCGGAGTTTGCAACGTGTATAGAAACGTCCATTCTTTCCGTCGTTCATTATCGCGACGACCCGGCTATTTTCGCGCGACACGCAACACACACGTGTGTCACACTCGCGCCGAATGACGCAGCTCGGACAATCTTGCGAGAAAAATTGCATTTCGCGATAGTCGTACAAATGCGCGCGCCTCGCTCTCATTCATCTCTGATATAAGGGAGGAAAAAATGCGAAAGAGAGAAACGCGCCCCATAAGAAGAGTCGCAGTCAAGTCGCAGGATCTTAATTAGACAATTTGGATTAACGATGGAAGGGTAATAATGTTCCACGATATCCAGTAACACGCAAGTTCTCCTCAATCTTACAACGTGCGCAATGAATCAGCCTTTCATATAAAAAACGCCTTGTACCTCAATTTCTATTATATCCATATTAATAACTATATTTTCTCTACTATTTTTTTTATTCAATTATTAATTTTTATCATTACTATTTATTATCATTTATAGGAATCTCTTTAAGAATGTATTGTTCATATAGTCTCTCCAAAAATCACTGAAACTCTCGTATTAATAGTCCTTATTTGAAACTTTTTTCAAATGAAATTCTCAGGTTTGAGTTCAAAATTTAATGAAAGTTTTTCGATTGAATAACGATTGCAGATATAGCAGCACATATATTATACAGTTCAACTGAAAAATTTGCATCCAATTTTGAACGAAAATCTGAGTATCTCACAGTTGAGACAAGCCTCAACCGACAACTATTAATATAACTTTGAAACTTAAAAATATGTTAATATTTTAATTTTCCGTATAAAAACATGATATATTTATACATACATACGATACAGTTGAATAACATATTTTCACTTTAACATCATATTTTTATAACCTATTAATTTTACATTATTTCTGGCTTTTAAACTTTTATCTCTCTAAATCGCAATAAAATTTTGTGCACATCATTTTGGACATTTAAAATTACACGTACAAAAATTGAGATTCTTGTCGTAATTTTAATTACCTTTTCCTTTACTGAAAATAGCAGCATCATATATATAATATTTCGATAACATCACGAATTAGAATAGTAGGATAACGTCAAGTGATGTTCTGATGACGCGTTGATGATGTATCTAGTACGTAGTAGTATTATTAGTAATCCATAATAATACATCATTTGGATGTCATCATGCTTGCTGGGCTTACACCTCAAAGCGGAATAACTTTTGATCCGGGCTCTCAATCAGTGTCAAATTGTTCAAACTTTTAGAGATGCAATCTAAATTAATCTGTGATCCTTTCAAAACTTTTTCATTATTTTAAAGAGACAGGGGCAATTCATTTTTAAACTTCCATCCAACTTGTCTCATCCCCGTTTCATCAAGTCAATTCACCCGAAGGCACTGGAGACGGGCTTTAACAGTGTCTCATGAATCGAGTCTTCGGCTCGAGCGTGACTTCGTCTCTAACCGAATCCGGCCTTCCAAACGCGTGTGTGCGTTGCATCTAGCCGTTCCCAGCCGCTCGGGGCACGCGAGTTTATGCGCCATCGAGAACGACGGGGCTCTATTTCGGTGAATGCACGCGGAAACGTAATCTCGGGCGTAAACATCGGGCGCTATCGCGTCGCTCGCGTGATGCGAAGTACGAATAATCGAAAGGGCCTATATATATATATATATATGCCCGTCCCCTCTCCCGAACGTCTCGGAAATCATTATCCGCGACTTTATCGGGCACGGGCCATCTGCAGGGCTCGAGACCGAGCGCTATCCAAGTGCACGCGCGCGCAAAGTAACGTATGCGCGGCTTTTATCGGCGCGAATACCTACGCCCGTACGGCGCACGCTGGACGTTTCTATTATCACGAGCGCGAATCGTCGTGCCTTCATACTCCACTTTCCTCCTCCAACGCTCGTCCTACCTTCGCCTTCCTACCACCGAACACCACCGCGGCGATCGTTGCTTCGCGCGGCCACTGATTTTCCCGCGCGGCCGCTCGACAACTCGATGTCTCGCTTCGATCGAGCGCGCGAATTTAAAACAATAACTCGTTCGCTCGGCGGAGAGGCCGAGTCCTTCTATCTATCTTTCTTAGGAGGCGAGGGGGGATGAGGGGAAAGGGGATCGAACGTTACTCGCTTATCGCCCGACACCCCGAGACGCATTTTTCCCGGGATATCTCTCGCTGTATATCTCCTGAATCTAATACATCTTATTTATTGCGCGCGGCCGATCGACGGTGTTTCGAGAAACCGATTGAGGTGTCACTTGGTTTCCTACGCAATGGAACAATATGATATCCTAAGAGACAAAGTGCCCAAGGCTTTACGGTGGTTCGATCCTTTTTCGTTCTTTTTTCTCTCTCTGCCTCCCCTCCTTCTCTCTCTCTCTCTCTCTCTGTCTCTGTCTCGTTCTTCTTTTTTTGCATCGCGCATTGCGCTGCGTTTATCTCCTTGCGTCCAGGCACACCGATAGAAATATCGGTACCGCGAGTGATTTACGGTGACCATTATTATTTCGCGTTTAGCGCGAGAACGCGCGAGAGGACGCACCGCCGCGCGTTATCCGCGGCGGAAAAAAAAGTGGAGAATTTATACGGCGTTTTATTAAGGCTAATACGAAGGGCGGCTCCGGTTCGACAATAAAGGAATATTACTAGGTACTACGCGGCCGTAATGCGTCGATCCGGCATAATGTACGCGAAGCGTTTCAACGGCCTTCTGCGAGCCATCCGTTATGCGTGCCCACGCACGCATGCACGTACGCAAACGCCCGCGAAAATAATAACGTGCGCACAGGTCGTCGAGAGAAAACGGGTTCGAAGGCGCTGTAACGAGACTCTCCTCCGCCGTGTTCGACGCCGAGCACGCGAATACGACGAGCGCGCGAGACGCTGCGGGACCTTACGCGAGCACATTACCGCCGGATTTCGTATCCTCCGGCGGATGATGTTCCTCAGCGAATTATGTCGATCGCGAGTCGCGTTCACCGACCTTCCCGACGGCTACGCGTTCGTCTATCCGCGCTCATCGTCGCCCTAATCCGCGAGTGTCCCTCGACGAACGTCAATGCGAGCGCACACGCAAGGTAAAAGTACAAATACCCGGACATGTATCCAATCCTGGGCGTTCCTATTGTTTCGGTCGCTAAAACACGCATGTGTCTAAACTCTCAGCATAAAATACACGTACATACACTGAGAGAAAAAATACCTGAAAAAATAAAAAGTACCTATTTGGTGGGTACTAATGATATATTTACTTAAATCTAAGTTCTTTTATTTAAACGAAATAAAAAAACTGGTCTCAGAAAAAGCAACGATTTTTGGAAAATGTATTCCCTCGCATTTGAAGAAAAAGAAAATTTAGGAAATTTAGTTTCCTAATGTAAAAATATGTATATCAGCACAAGTAAGCATGTTTATTAGCGCACGGAAAAAGTAGTTGTTATCTTTCGATGTCGGATCTGGTTGGCACAACCAGATTGATGCGTGAATCAAACACACTATTTTTTCTATGTATCCACCAAACAATTATTTTCATTTTCTAGATATTTTTCCCCTCAGCCTACGTACACTCCTGTTTTGAAGGCTTTACACTTAAAGACCAAAGCAACAAGAATATCCAGGATTAAGTACGAGTATGGAAACTGATACTCTTGCTTTACATGTCCGCGACTTTATCTTCCAGTTGGAAGACGAAAGAAGATTTCTTCGTGGGCGAACGCGTCGCATTCGATTGGATATTTGCGTTGCGAGACAGCGCGGTCTATCCAACGCGATCCTCAAGCAGTCTCGCGTATGAAACAGTAAGAAACACTCTTATTATTTTCCCAATAATAAGAGGGATTTCCAATAGTAAGAGAACTAGAGAAATTCCCAAGAATAATGAGAAAATAATAATGATAAAGTTTTCCGCGTAATATGATAAGAAAATGTTTCTATCACATGCACATCTTCTCCGCGGCTTCGAAAAATCTCCCTCCGCGAAGATGTGCGTAATAGGACATGACTTGGGACACGGTTGTACGCGCGGATCCGAGATCCCCGTTAATCTCCTCGTTACTCGCGGACACGCGATACCCGAGCGAGGGAGGGAGTTTAACGTCGTAATATATTCGCGACGGGTAAGAATCCGAAGTGTCAAGGTCGCGTGATTTCTGCTCCATCTTCGGCGGCTGAGAGACGCGACGGCGACAAATCGACCGGCCGGCTAATAAGAGGGAGGATACCACCCGGGATCGTGACGCAAATTCCCGCGCATGCACGAAGAAGATTAAAAGCCGACGTGGCTAATTGATGTCGCGACTCGGATTCGCGGATTCCTCTCTCCTTCTTTCTTTCGATGTGCGATGTGCGCGCGAATAAACGCGCGGTTGTTCGCGGCCTTCGAGGACCGGATCTGATCGCCATTCTTCCAGAAACCGGACAGCCGAACGGCTCAATTTAAATCCCCGCGCAGATTGACATTATCGGGCGTTGCTCGGCACGTCCGCGAGCGAAGAAGGAGGCATTCGGTTCGAAGTCAGCGTCAACGTTCACATGCATGGAAGAAGGTGGTCATTTGTACGCGCGCAACCGACGTGTGTGCATTTTCTTGTTCTCTCTCTTTAATAAATCGTACAATAATTTAACACAGGAATGTTAAGACATTCGTGGCAGAAACGAGTTACAAAGAGTTGCTTGCTGAGTAAACAGGCGGGGACGAGTAATAATGATATCCGTAATGTATAGAGCGAGCTACCACGAGCGACTCCGCCGTCGAACTCGTGGAACTCCCGCTGGAACGCTTAAAAGTGCTTTATCCTAGTTCTTTGAGCACGACGCAAGTGACTGATTCACGCGAAGCCGTTTTGTCCCGATCCTTTGAAGTTACAGGGAGTTCCTGCGAGCGCATTTGGGGGGGAGCGTATCCTCGACGATGACGACTTTGAGTGAGACTTTGTAAAGATTGAGTCGACATCGAGTATCTTGCGTTCATAGTTTGACGGTTGTTCGACATTAATTTCCGTTTCTTTGAGACAAGTGAAGTCTACAAATTACAATTGCATTCACACATTACTCCCAGGAGGTGTATCGAACTGAAGCAATTCAGGAGTTGGCGCGAGTCAAACAATGTCTGCCTGTTCTTTGTAGCTGAATTAGCTGCACTAGTCTGCACTAATTGTCTCGCTCTCTTTTCTGCATCAAGTCACAGCTATATACCTATTTCTTTGTAAGTTCTGAAAGTGTGCACTAGTTCAGCTGCAAAGAACAGATCTCAGGGTTCAAGGAATCGAGGTCGACGAGACGGCATCCTTATTTGGTGACCTCGATCTTCTCGCTCGAGTGTACCTGGCTACGATACTGGGACGATTGAGCGATGGGCGCCGCCAGAATCGGCCAATTGGCGATCGGTCTTACGTAGGAAGCCGCCAAGTACACGGTGGGCTCGTTCACGAGAGGAAGGGTTATCTTGGCGTTGCGGTGAATCTGGGTCCTGCTCTGGCTGGAGACCGCGGTGACGAGCGGCAGAGCCTCCTTGGTGACGATCGGAACCGCGGCGACCGGCGTCTCGACGACCGCCAACGGCGCAGCGTCGATCTTGACGGCGTCCTTGCGATTCGGGCCCTCCAATCCGAGGTCCTTGTGAAGCTGGATGCGATTCTCGTTATAGTCCGCGAAAGCGGATACCAACGGCAACGTCTCCAACTGATACTTGACAGCGGGGATCGGCTGTGACGGCGTTGCCTGGGCTGGCTGTGCCGTTTCCGGCTTCTCGATGGGTTTCTCTGGTAGGATCTCAGCGCGGAGAGCATCGTGCACCTGGAATCGACTCTGATGCGAGGTCGCCAACGGCACTTGACCAGGAAGGATCACCGTCCTGTACGCGGGCTCGGCGAGTACTCCAATCGTTTGGACGGGTTGAATAGCCTTCAGATGGATGCCGCTGTGAACGTCGACGCGACTCTGATGAGATGTCGCGGCGCCGCTCAGTTGCGGGATCAGCACCGGGAGCCCGTAAACGGGCGCGACGATGGTTTCGGTTTTCTTCTCTGGCGCTGGTAGTTCATGGGAACTCTTCGGCGAGGCCTTCACCGGCTGATCGGCTGGATCTTTCTGGGAATGCGGCTTTTCTGCTGGGAGATTATCTCGATCGGTCGCCGGCGTTGCTGTCTCGACGCTGCGCCTCCTGCGGCTGGTGCGCTCCTCCTTCGCCTGCTGCGCGGCCCTCGCGTGCTCCTCCAAGTGGGCGTTCTTAGCTAACAGGATCTCGCCGGTCTCCTGCGGCAGGTCGCCGTCGGTCGGCAGATTCGTCGCGGCGACGCGGAAGCCGCCCTCGTCCGCGACGTAGAAGACGGATTGTAGGATTCCGTGAGCGTCCACGTAGCTGTAGGAGCCGCGCGTGACCCCGTCGAGACCCCGCACTTCCTCCTTGGCGGACGGACCGCCGGCGTAACTGTACGCGTGCACCCCGTTTCGCGTGTCCTGCGACTGCTGGTACACCGGAAGTGGATCCGCCAGATAGGCGTAGGGCAGCAGGGTCAACTGCGCGGCCGCCGCCACGCTGAGGATCGCGAAAACTGGAATCTGTGGAGTATAAGATTCTTATCCTCTCTTTCTCTTTCTTTCTCTCTCTCTTTCTCACTCCCGCTCCTTCGGTAACACGGAAGCCGTTAATGCCGTAAAATCGTAGGAGAGAAGATAGCGACGTTCTTTCCAATCTTATCTTAATTGAGAGGGAGAATTATTGGAAGCAAAGCTTGCGTGGTTACCGAATTTTTTCGATATCAGGAACGCTTTCTGCCCCGTGACCCTTCATTATTTGCATCGGTGCAGGAGGTGGACCAAAGCTTCTGTGTCCTTATCTTGATCAATGACAGTCAGAAGCGAGAAAACGTATGCTCAAAGATTTTGCGAAATAAATTCTTGCGAAAAAATTATGGCCATAAAATGACACTTGTGAACGATTAAGCACATTTGCAAAATATTCCGAAAACTTCCCTTTCACTCTAACAATCGATAGACCGTAAAATTAACGTGACAAAATCATAGAAGAAAAGATAGATTGCATTAATTTTACGATTATTTATTCATTGTTAGAACAAATGGAAAATTTTTTGAATATTTCACAAGGCGTGCTTAGCGTTTTAATACGAATCAAAATGGCCCCCTCCCCTCAGAGAGATTTAATTCATGCAACTAGTCCTTTCATACCTTTGCGAAGCAGGAATTACCATGATGGAAATTTTCGCAAGTCCTTATTCCAGATGAGAGGCGAATAGCCGACGAGGCATTCGACGAATTTTACGCCCGGTATCGGCAGTGCGGGGCGCGGCGGCGGCACTTGCAGCCGACTTGCACGTGGGACGGGGTAAGTTTATACTTGCATGAGCCACTCGGGAGATTCAGGCTCTCTTTACGATCCAATAAGACCTGAGGAAGCGGCGACAGGCCGCTCGCCACACCGGGAGAAAGTGATGGAGTGTACATCGCCGAACCGCGCGAAAAAGTCAAGAAGCCGACCGGCTTTTTTCGTGCCAAACCGCTCCGCGTCGACGAGCGAGCGGCGTGTCGTCTCGTCGGAGGGAGAGATATGTGCGAACTTTGCTGGAAAGATCTTTAGGCCCATAAAACTACCCCACAACCTTAAAGATTCGCAAATTCAAAAATCACGAAAACATGATCGTTCTCTCCTTTCCAGATATGAGAACGCGATTTCTCTTATCGTGTAAAAAATATGAGATGTCAAATAAATGTCTCATATATTTATCCTTTTTCCTATTGATATGTTCGATAAATTCGAAATCCACTGTTGATTTCATATTAATTAACGTTGACTGATATTTGTTGTCATACAAAGTCATAATTTCGATTGGTAAATCAATAAATAAATATTTTAATAAATCATTATAATCATATTAAAAGCTGAAAACAATGCCTGTTAGATGATCCGTTAAAAGATATATCATCGAAGATATACCCAGGGATGAAAGGATTCGATAATGAAACAGCGTAGCGGAACACACGAAATGTCGAAGAGAGTGACACTGAAACTTTCCTTCGAGCTCGCGATGAGAGGTTTCGGAAATCGTGCATGTTAGGGCTTGCGCGTCACCTCCCCCGCGCTCAAATGAATAACTTTACTTCAGAAACGGCGGACGGCACCGTTGTCTACAATATCTAACGATTTAGACCACTATAAACGTTAAGCAAGCAGCTGTAAAACCGCCGTATCCCGTAAGACCGGCGGGGGAGAAGCTACATCGCGCTGGAGGAACAACGGAGGGAACTCTCCGGGTAGCCGGTGGTGCGGATAAGCGAAGTGCCATTCAACGGAGGCTCCGTCGCCGTAAAACGCGCGGCGGTCGCGCACTCGAACCGCGGATTTTACACGCGTTCATTTTTCAGCGACTTTATATCTCGACGAAATGCGAGTAGCCCGAGAAGGAGAACGTATGAGTGTGTGTGCATGTGTGTGAGAGAAAGAGAGGCCTCTCTCGCGCGCGCGCGCACACACATAATCTCGACAAATAAATTATGCTGCCTACTCATACATCACTCCCGCGGATACCCATTCGCCAACCCCGTCACCGAGCCGTCGCGTTATTCACCACCTGCAATAAAGACCCCGGCGCTTCGTTTACGACGTCGTGCACATAGTAGACTAAAATAATGACTCCCCTATGCGTTCCCACCGTCTCGGGTGTACTAAAACCTCTGATTAATTGCCGAAAATTGAACGAAGTTCGATCAGTCCGACTCGACGGATGATTAAATATTTTCTTAATTTTTTATAATTTAATTACAATTAAATAGTGTCCTCTCCTGTTTTTTTCTCCCTCACACTAATACGATACACGCGACGTCGCGACTGAAACGCCAGAAGATATTTATCGCAGCAAATGTCGCATTCGCGTCAATAAACCACCCTTCTCGCTCCGGATCTCGACTTCGCCGAGGAAAGGATTTCATAAAGAGCGCTAGGCGACTTTAGGGTCTTCCCGGAGGGAAGATAAGCCGAGGAAGAGAGAGCAGATCGCACTTACCAGTGCCTGCATCGTGCTCGATGTGTTTCTGCCGACCTCCTTACCAGCTGAAGGACTGTCCGGGCTGTGCACCTTGCTCCCGATCTGGTTTTGACTTATATACACGGCGCGAGCCGCGCGGGATGTCTTCGAACCAGGAACCTGAGGAATCGTCGAAGGACAAGGCGGATCCGCTCGCCAAGACGGGATACGTCGATCCCGGATCGCCGGTCAATCTCTGGATCCCCGCGAGCGTGTTTCCTCGCCCACCATGCGGTCGTCGTCGCCGCCCTCGGCCTGACAATTTCGTGCGGATCGTAAAGGTGAGAAAAGTCGCCGTACCGGATTCGACGCGTTGCTTTTCTTCGTGCGAAACGAACGAAACGCCGCAGGAATTCGCTTGTATTTGCGGCTTGTCGTTCGGAAGCCTCGTTGCGATAAACAAATTAGCGAGTTGCAAGACTCCAAAGTATACGTTAAATATACATTTTTCGCAATATGTATACTTGGTTTCAATACCAGACTTGAACATTCTTCTCAATGCAGTTTGGAACGCAGCCGTCCAATGAGAAAAAATTCAACCCCTGGAAAAATATAGTCACCATAGCCTCCTTTTTTCTTATAAAACACTCTTATAAAACACTTCTTATAAAACACTTATAAACTCTTATAAAATACTTATACAACTCTTATAAAACCTCATCACTTCTTATAAAACAAGAAGCTGTATCCAGTAATGAAAAAAATAAAAATAAAAGAGACTTTTGAGAATTAATAAAAAACAAGTTGATGAAAATTAATCGAAACAATGTTCCAATTGCGTTGAAACAAAATGTATTTGGAGAGCAATGTTGAGTTCTGATCAATTAAAATGTTAATTGGCTGAAATAATCGGCAAACCAATAATCGAAATGAATCAGTCGTCATATGTAAAGTCACGAATAATTTCATCGATGAAATTAATTATCGATGAAATTAATTACCAATCAAACATTGATTTTATCGATTATTTAATGATTAATAATAAAAATTTCATCAATTGATTTAAATTACTCATAATTACATATATACACTGAGAGAAATTATCAAACGGACATATTTCGAATTAAAAGTACTCGTACTTTACAAATTTGCTTCATCGATTGCAAGTATCATTTTACAGATGTATATTTTTTATTTCAATGTATTTCGTAAGAATTTTTAGCATGAGTTTTCTCGCTTCCGTCATTAAAAAGAAATGGACGACACAAGCAGAGGCCTTAAAGAGCCTTAAAGAGCGCGAAAGGTTGAATGGAGGTTGAAGCGCGGGAGAGAGCTCCGGGTGCGCGCGTGGAACTGGTTCGACTTACCGGAGGTCGTTCGACGATCCCAATCGCATAGATATGCAATCTCGCCGATCGTAACGCGAGAGCCCGGGCTTTTCTGGTTTCGCGCACCGGAGGCTACGCTCGACCTCGAGCCCGTGCTTCAATTTGCGACGCGGTGACGCGCTTAATGAGATCCTATATGGATTTCCCCGAAAGAGGAAGGGAGAGAAAAGAGGGTTCCGGTTATCTTGCATTATTGAATTCGCGATCATTCAATTGGCATAAAGGAATTCGACGGACGCGTGAAGGTGATCCGCGAAGGGTCGTCGCGAGCTCTCTCGAAGACGCTCTCTCGCGCTGCCCCAAGTGACGACCAGGCGCTTTTGTGCTACAAACTGAGCACGCTGTTTCGTCGGACCTGGCCGGGGCCATGAGAAAAAGAGTTCGCGTTCACTATTAGCGTAACGTTGTCGCGTTAATTGCCACGCCGGCCGAGTGACAGCAAGGTCATCCGGGCTGCGTTCACGATAATCTCGTCCTGTTTTTACGATACGGCAGGCGCGCGCTCGCGCGCGCACGTATTTGCTTTATATGAAACGAAACGTGTTCCCGTTCGGGACGCGTTGCGCGCGTTTAATAAAGCGCATACCGAACTGAAAGCAATACATGTCATAAGTTCGCAAACAGGATCAAGTAACAAGCTTTTAATTTTCCTGACGGTGCGCCAGGGGAGGAGACCGAGGTCCGATCTGTTAGTCTCCTTATTGCCTCTTCCACTGAATAACACTGTGTATCTAATAAACCGCGTACTTGCAACGACGGAAAAAATTCCCACGCACTCTTGCGCTCACGGTGACTATTAATTATCACGGGCGACGTATAACATAAATCTGTACACGGCTATATTTGTACACAGAGAATATTATATTTCATAAAAAATCCTCTCGATACTTTGCTGCATTTTCTCTCCACTGAGAGAAAAGATCTAAGAAGTAAAAAATACTTATTCAATGGGCGCTAACAACGTATTTTTCAAATAAGAAAACGCGAGTATATTTTTTCTCTTAATGCAGAAATAATAGTCACTGAGGTTTATCAAGGAACATTTCGCTAGAAACATAGCAAATTTTTTAATAGCACTTATTTAGTTTTTTAATAACCTAGCACTCGAAAATGCATGCTACACTGGATGACGAATGGTAGCTTCGCGACACAGTTCAGACAGTGGAATCACTTCGCGAATTAGCCTGGATTGTCGGGAATGCCAATGCACGACGATCTCAGAGCTGCGTTCCGAAACTCTATTCGACGGGTAGAGTAGCGTTTGATTGACCAATAAGAACAAAGATAACTAGGATTTCTTTACCATGATTGGTCAATTAAATGTACTTTACCCACTGAGTAAAATTTTGGAACGCAGCCCAGGAATCAGATCTCTCCAGAACTAAGTGCGGAAAAGATCTGGCTAAGAATAAGATTGTCTGACTGTGTCGACGTAAACTTAGAATAATTAATGACTAATAGTGGTACATATGAAATAATAGTCGATTGTTGTAGAATGTCCTGTTTCTATTCCTCGGTTACAAAGTTGCAATTCTTATTATAAAACTTTCTCTCCGCGAGCACGCGATACGTTGGTAAACTATAATCGATCAGTGGCGCGCAAAAGTGTCCGCAGCGCGAAAAAATTCGTAATATCGAATCAGTAGATTCCCAAATCCTCGTTTCGCTGTTAGACTTCTACAATCCGGGTTTGTGAAAAGTAATCTATCTATTGCTACATAAAATTTATTATTATCGTAAGAATATCGATCAACTTCGATTTTGAAAGGAAAATATATGCGCGAGAAGTCCCACGTATTCTGCCAAAGGATTTGCCTTCTAAAAGGTGACGCGTCATACCACTTCCCTCTGCGATTTCCGCGATCGTTACTTCCTCTAGTGTGTGCGACTCGCGTGTGATTAGAAAAGGGGATCCTGGCGGATGGACAATGCGGCGTTCTTCAATTGCGGCTTACTCGAGCGGCCTTGATCATGGCCGCGACACGGTCGTGTTCAGCGAAATTGTTTGCCTGCCGCGGCTTTTTTACCCCTTTTACCTACGCTAACCGCAGACGTCCAGGAATCCTTCCCCTGGCACAATAAAATCACATGACCCGCGTCCTTGGCGGTGTGCTGGTTGCGATGACCCGGACCCGCGCGATGCGGCGCGTATGGTATCCGCGCGGCCAGAGGCGCGCCTCGAATGAGTATTATAATGACATAAAGGGTTGGCGCGGGGGATCAACCTGTCCGCCACGCCGCGTAAACCCGAGACCGCGGCTATTTGCATATCCTGTTTCTCTGAAAGTAACACGGTCGCGAGGGTTTCGAATCAGTAAATCGCGCGTGATCGTCATCGAGCGGGATCCACAATGCCGACGAAGCAATAATTAAGATAAAGATATCGATTCCTGGACACGTATCTAATGGACATTTTTATTGCTTTAGTCTTTAAATATAAATATTTAAACTTTCAACATTGAATATATTTACATACTCAATACTTATACATGTATTTTATGTTAGAAATATAAATATTAGTATCTAAAGACTAAAACAAAGAGTGTCCAAGATTAGGTATATGTTCGGGAATTGATACTTTTATCTTACGCCTCGACGTCCATATTTCGATGGACTTGCATAATCCTGAAAAAGAAGTATCGAAATCCTAAAAATAGGACAACGTCATAGGATGTGTCACACAACTGAAAAGAGAGTACAGGAGCAAAGTGGGAGAAACTATTCCGAAAAATGAGTATAGTGTCAATCTCCCGAAATACTGAAAACATGAGGTTGTCAATAATTTAGGCATGAGATAACATCTGCAGTAGAATTTTGATTTTTCACGGTTATGCAGGTGTATCAATACTTTCGTCATTCAGTCGCATGTGGTCGCGTTAGGTGTGTCTGCGCCAATCACCATCGTGACGCATAAAGCGCCGTTTGATCTCCAAATTATTAGATTAATAGATGTTTTCCAGATAGACTTTCGCGCTATTCCCAGCTCGAAAAATCCTACGCGATAATCTCGGGGTCGAAGAACGAGTTCCACTGCAATTCTGTTTCGTTAATCTTGCCTTTGGACTTTCCTTTTCTTTTTCAACACGCAGGAATCGGTTCTTCGTGAGGTTCGCATCGTGCGATCGGTCGTTCGATTCCGAGCTCCGCGAGAAGATTTCTCTAGTTATCGCGAGCGGTATCGGGATGAAAAGTCGAGAATCCAAGAAAACGTAGGCGAGCATATGGTATCCTCAAAATATCGCGCTCGATCTCAACGGTATGGACTGGTACTCCGCGATTTTTCGTTATGCCGCGCTGGCGCGCGATAAGGACGATAGAAGTAGAATCGTTACGATAAGGAAACGCAACTTCCACAATACTCTCCCGCCGTCTTCCTTGGCTACTCCCCGTAACGCGTTTGTTTCGATCTCTGACTTCAGCCTCGATACATTATCGTTTTTCCTTCCTCCTTTCTCATTACCGCCGCACCGTTTGTACTATCTGACAAAAGCAGACCCAACAATACCGAGCACGGGTCCAACATTTAGAATGCTCAGCAACAAAGACGGCCCAATTAATTCACACCCATGCGAGATTCCACGTAGCGCGTTGCGCAGCGACGCGCGCATAATGACATTCCGCGACTGCAAGACATTCCGATTTAGAGTCAACTTTTCATCCCGACCGGGTATCGCGTGGCGACGATACCTTCCCCGAGGGACGATCGACACGTACAATAAGTCAGGCCCCGAGGAATCTCGCCGGCCCAAACCCGGATGCGAATTTTAGCATGCGGGATTCTCACGAGACGCGACGAGTGTTCCGTTCGTCAGTTCATGGCTGCTGTGCGGTCCTTCCCTCGACTTCCTCGTTCTTGTCGTACTTCGGCTTTGCAGTCGTTTCGCGGCTTAATCCGACACCGGGACACGCCTATCCGTGAGAGAGAACCCGTGAGGCGCGAAAGGTAACGGCGATAGCGTGACCTTTCAGGTGGTTCTGCTCGCTGCTTCCGGTCATCGTCCGCGCCGGCGATCGGAGGAGACCCGCGGCTTACGTCGGCCTACGTGGGCGCGATGATCGTTCAGATATCCCGACGCGACGGTGACCTCCGCGCTCTCGCGGGTTCGTCCGTGTCTATCTTGGCGCGCTACCAGCCGCGGCAGCGCGATATCGCGACGCGACGGAACACGTGTGGGAGAGGCACCAAGGCGTTGCTCTCGTGTTCTCGTAGGCGAGCAGGATAGCAGTCAACCGCGTACCGAAAGCGTGGATAATCAGGGAATAGGCTCCCGCGTGTCGGCGCGAACTCCTCCGAAGGCCGGCTATGAGTAGGAAAGGAAGGTGAAGGAAGACCGAGAGGAGAGAAAAAGCGATGAGAGGATAAAGGGTGGTGATCGCGCGGCGAGGACGGCGCGGGGGACCACGAGGAAAAGAGAGATAGAGAGGAGCAGGGAGGGAGAGACGATAATGGTCGGACCGTGAACACGGCAGAAACACTCGATTACTCGCGCGCGCACTCACTCGCTGGCTGCTCTCCTCCGCGCACCGCACCGTTCCGTAGGTCAAGGTGCCTCTTATTTCCTTAACCCACCGCGACTCACGGTGTGACTTCAAAGTAACGCACCGCGGCCGGCGATGCTGTTCCTTTTTCGCACACTGCCGCTTCTCTTGCCGCAACAATATGCGGGAACTTATGGTCTCGCGCTCTTGAAGCCTATGGTAATGACTATCGCGCTTACATGATTGCGTGTATTTGCGATTTTCGACGGCTCCGGAGCGCCGACTCTAGCGAGTCGGTAGCGCGAAAGATAAATCGCTTGCGCGTGACGATTATTCCTCGTCCGGCTCGCGGGATTCGCCGTATGACGAACGTGTTCGGCGAAGGAGGATAATGTCCCTCATCATGACCGATTGCTCCTCCCGCGGATTCTCCTCGCCTCATTCCTGCGAGTTGCGCGTTGCAACAATGCATATGGTGTTTTGGCAACGACACTTGAAGTTGAAGACTTCTTGGGAATTCGTTGGAGAACGGTAGGGAATCTCTAGAAATCCTATCGCCTCTTGACGCTGCCTCCTGAAATCATCCTTCTCCTTCAATAGCTCATGATTCAAATGCTGACGCCATTATAGTCGGGCATAATCGCAACGGTAACCTGGATCATTTCAAAACAAAATTACTGGCGATTTATCGTTGCCGCGTACAAAAGATCACGGTCGTTCGCGGTAATCGGCAGTGTCCCAAGCACGCGCGAAAATAGGATCGTTAAACAGCCGCCGTCACCGCCGTCATCGCCTCCTCCTCTTCCTCCTCCTCTTGCTTCTTTCCTGCCGGTCCCTTCGTGGACGCCGCTGGTGTTATGTCTCGGTGAGACGACCTCTTAGAATTCCAACAAGATGCACGCGTCCGCGAACAATAAAATCCATCTCCGGAAAAATCGCTGCGCCGGTGGAAGCCGCGCTTGGACCACACCCACGCAACGCGAGTCGTCCACAGAGATCCGGCCACATATTTGCGGAGGTCGTCTTATGTCGTAAACAACATAAACATAATGCAGCCGAGCCGGTGGACCACACCCGGCGCGCGTATGCGCTAACGCGCGCACGTGTGCGTTTGCATACGCACTGTGCACACGTACACGTGCACGTGAGGGGGGACGGGGGATGGGGGAACATACACGCTCGCATATCGCAGCGTGAGGACCGACGCGACATCGCTCTTCGTAGTGACCGAAAAATGCTGGCGGATAAGGTAAGCGATAAATGAACGCTCGACGCTTCCTTGCTTGATAAATCGCCGGAGCTGGCATAAGTCGGTAAGTGGCCCTTTATCGTGTATATTTAAATTAAAACGCGTGTACAACTAAAGGGCGTGCTGGCGCTGCTCGATGATGTGACTGATGAGCTGAGCACACCGGAATGCCAGTTTTAGAATACGCTAAACGACGGACGTGGTACTCGCGCCTTTCGACTGTGATCCCTTCTCGTAAGTGAATGGCGCGCGACACGCATTAAAGACACCGATGCAATACGTTACCGGAGACTAGGAATTGCGGGACAAACAAATTTACATATTGAACAAATATAAATGAAAAGAGCGGTTCAATGACAGTACATTCTATAAAAATACTCTGATTGCAATAAAACGTTCAATTATTTACATTCCATATTAATATAATAATTTCTCATAATACGATACGTATATATTTTAATATATTAATTACGTTACCATAATTTTTTCTCGTGTTCCAGGCATTTTATTAGACTGTTGCAATACGCTTCAATAAATCCAATTATACTATATCTTCAGGATTGACATCTATAAACAAAGTTGTTGTTCCTCTCGTAATTTGAAAATGTATCGTTCCTGGTTTTTCCAAAAGCTTGTAAATATTATCTGAACACATTACCGGCTCTTTGTTAGCATACGTGATTATATCTCCAGGTTGTATTCCAGCGCTGCAACAACCGCACGAACAATTAAATCTTTGGTAAGGAAAAGCTTACAGTTATACCTACCGCTGCACTTCAATTTACAACTTCAACTTACATGTCAGCTGGAGATCCAGGTATTATTTTCCAAACAAGAACTCCGTGCGTCATGAACATATATTTGTTATCTTGCTGTATCTCGACCAAAATATCAGGCATTAAGGATTGCATTGTCATGCCTAGATATCTTTTCCTGGATCCACTCTGTAAATCTTTTTTGCCTGTGAAAAGAAAATAATGTAAATAATTGATACTCTCGTCGTTTCACATCGATGGTTTAAAATAATAGTCAGTTTCATTACCTTTGTTTCTACGTGCTTCCACTTTCTTCAAAAATTCTTTCGCATAGTCTATAGGTATAGCAAATGATATGCCAGCCGTTATCTTCAATTGATTGATACCTATTGCTTCCCCATTCAAATTCACTAGTGGGCCACCTGAATTTCCAAACTAAAAAAAAATTATTTTGTAACAGTATGACTTATGATATGTAACACTTAATTTTTGTTGCTCAATGAGAACCAACAGTAATTGCTGCGTCCGTTTGGATGTATCCTATATGTAGATTGTGCATTCCAATTTCTGTACTTGGTCTATTTACACTGCTCACTACTCCAGATGTTATAGTGTTGCTGAGAGTCAGCGGGCAGCCAATGGCCACCACAAATTCTCCTGGTCTAATGTCAGATGAGTTGCCAAGTTTCATTACAGGTAAATTGGTCTGTGAAATTAAAAAAATAAGTAATATGACAGATATTTTGATCAACAAGTCTCACATTCAGATTACTATAATAAAACTACCTTATTTATCCGTATAGTAGCAAGATCACTGCATACATCAACATCTTCTATCACTGCAGTATATACACTACCATCGTGAAGCTTCACCTGTACGAGAAATAAAGATGGTTTCAAATAAGAATAACTAAGCAATAGTCTAGTCTAGAATAAACTTCATTGAACAAGAGGATATACAAGAACTCTTAAGGATTTACATTTACCTGTAACATTGCATTAGGTTTGCACAATACAACATGAGCACTTGTCAATATCAAACCATCATGACTAACAATAAATCCCGATCCACCAACGGCACTAACTGAATATGGTGTAAAAACATCTTTCCTATTTAAAAAATTAACGATAATTTTAGTATATTGATTATGATAATTACGATTAATACGTAATTTCAATGTTGTAGAATATTGCCTCATATATAGATATAGCCTGTAATTAAAAACAACCTTTGTACCTTTACCTTCTTCTGTCTTTAACCTCAATGTACACTACAGATGGTGCACTTATCTCCACTACATCTGCTATAAAATTGTATTTGTCTCTGTTCTGATCATTGCCAGACGGTGGCAAGTGGCTAGCGTGAACAATGGGATAATTATAGGCACTAAGACTTTTAATTCCTTCCCATATGTCATTTTTCCATTTGTACACAGCATAGCAAAAACCAGAAGTTAGCACGGTATAGGTTAGCAGATTATACGCTCTCTTTTCGTGTATCTTTCGTTTCTCCTGCCGTTGCTGCTGCGAATGGAACGATTGAATTTGCGTGTATCGTTCCGTGAATACAGTCGCCGTGTATCGCGATAAATGCGCGTTTCTCTTTATCAGGAACGTCCACGATAATCGTGACAAGGTAGAGGCCATCTTTCAAACCGCAACGTGTACAGAAGTTGTTAGATTGTAAACTCTTAATAAAAGTCAAACATTCCGCAATAATACTAATACACATAGTTACCTTGAAGGCTTATATATACACAACATTATTTGGAAGATTCTTGTCGGCACACCACATTAAATTAGTTTCGTGACTTTGTACGACTTTGAATCCTCGCGCTAAATCGTCCAAACAACACAGACACTCGACAGTTTCCGCCAAACCTCGTTTAAAATCGGCTATTTAAAAATTTGAACGTCGAGCGGATGTACCAATAAACTTAGGAAACTCAGCAAAAATGTATTGCGGTATTTATATGAATATTTATTAGAGATACATTAATTGTTTATAAATATATGTATATAAAAAACAATGTATGCAAGATAATCAAAATAATAATTAGTGGTTTATTCAAAAAATGCTCTTGAATATATATTTTTTCAATATACTCGTGTAGTATCCTTGGTCACGTGATATCCATTCAAATAGAATTCCTTCGTTTTCCGGTGGGAAGAAACAATAGATTTGCTCGAATCGGTAGCAATAGGTACGTTTCAAATGATTATTAACATTTTTACCATATTTATTACGTGCCACTTACGCTTCATAGCGATTGAGTTGATTAATGCCATTGAAGCAATTGATCATACACATTGATCGAGGATTCGATGACATATTTATTTGCTTGAAATCGGCAAAGTATAAGATTCAACGTGACATCATTTTGTCGGGATAAATTGAATAAAACCCTATATTGCATCTGTGTGATAAATACACATTTTTATTATTCGCCTCATCGTTAGCACAATGCTGTTACATTTTTTACATAAGTCGAAGCATGAAAAGAAAAGTGGAGAGGGACATAAGTAATAATTATGAAATTAATTATATTACTGAAATATCTCATGGGAAGCTTCGTTGCTTGACAATATTACACTCAGATCAGTGTCCATTTTACGATCATTGTCAACGACATCAGAAATTCTGCATGATGTATCCATATGGCAAGATTCTGAGACAAAGTAATACAACTTCATTGTAACATAGTAATAATATCAAAATTTCTTCTTATATCTCATAAGTCCATCAACAATCAATATCTTATTTCTTACATCAATATCTTATTTATGATTGCAAATTAATTATTTTCATTACTATTATATGTTTTATATTATCATCATATCTGTGTAGACTTTCTTTTGTATTTATTCTATTAATTTTGATTTCATTAATCATAGAATTTGATTAGTTTACAAGATTACAAATAAAATCTACAAAATTTATTTTTAAATGTTCTGAAATGTTATATGATTTATGTTCACCTTGTGAGCAACAAATTCCATTTGTAGCGCATCTAGCTGTATTTCCACGACACATTGCATATCCTGCAATGCAAGGCCTGGCATATGGACTTTCCTTCCTGCACCGGTATGTTTCTGGAGTTCCTATGAAGCATCCAATACTAGGACCACAGCAAATGTGTGGCCCAAAGCACTGACCCAGATGATTGGGACCGCATGGAGGACACTAGGTTCAGAATATTATAACAACTGGATTATAGTGAAATAGGTATGCAATTTTACAAATTGCAATATACATTAATACAAAAATCATGAAAATATTGGTTAGATAAGCAGTAATTGATTCAACAAAATGATCAAAAATTCTGCTCTGGTTAGATTTTTGTATAATGTCGTCAATTTTCTGTAAACTCATAACACGGAAACAAAGGAAAGATTTTAATTATAGATGTGTCATTTAGAACGTTACTTACTTCTCGAGTGACAGTTCCCAGAGAAGGCGCGATGTCACCTCTTTTGCCACCGCGAGGGCAATTCGTAATTAAACAAGCGTAACTGAAGAAAATGAGACTTGCGAAAATGACGAGATCCTTTAGCATTCTGAGCGAAATCCGTCGATCTTGTCAGGCTGTGTCGACGATCGGAAAGATACTGTGTACCTCATGGAGCTGCGTCGGTTATTTATATCGTCGAATCCTCAGTATTTAAGATTCCCGTCGAGTGCTCGGTTGGGACTCCTACTCACAATACAGCACTCTAAAGATTATGGAAATCTAATCTCCATGCGAGAATAATAAAAACGTTATAAGTATTGCTTATGACGTTATAAAAGTTGCTTCCCATTTCTTGTCACGGAAGCTACAGCTTTCTTTTCTAGGTTTTTCAGCTGAATGTGATTCAAAAATTAAATAAAAGATACAAAAAAGATAATTTGTAGATATTCATTATTCATAATACAGGTCACACAAATCTTACATGTATTTACACAAATCTTTTTATTATTTTATTGTCTGTTTTTTTTCCTCAGAGTTTTATTTTCCAATTTAATTTTCTTTTTATTAGCTACGAGATTCTTCCGTTTAGCAATCTTCTTTGAATCTTGAATTTTGGTTTTCTTAACTAAAGACGTTTTTAATTCACTGCCTGCTTTGCGTTTCTTGACTATCTTGTCTTTTTTTATGTCTGTTTTATCTGTAGACTCCGTAGACAATAAATTGGAACATTCTCGTCCAGTATGACCTGCAATAAAATATTAATAAAAAGATAACTGGAACTATACAAGCTATGTAGAAAAAAAATATCGATATTTACCTAATTTGTTACAGTTAAAACATTTACCAACAATATTCGGGACTTGACCACATGTATGTTTTTGCAACATACATCTGTTGCACGTTTTGCAATGTTTCCAAGTAGGTTTTACACATCGCTTGCATATTTTACAATGCTTGTATGTTCTACCATCTTTAGAGGTGCATTCCTTACACCTTTTGCAATGCTTGTTCTCGCTAGAGACCCATTTCTCACAATCTTTGCAAAATCTGTATCCATCAGACACAGGAAGCTCTAGTAGCTTCAACGGTATGTTTGTAAAAATTCTCACAGGAGAGCCTTGTTTTCTTCCCTGTTCTTCGGACACAAATAATGGATGGTTGTCATAATCCACTTTATAATCAGACATCTTCAAATCTTTCAAACCACCTGAGACCAATGGTGGATTGCTTTTTTCTCTTATGATGTGTTCCATAAAGTATGGAAACATAAAAATGATTTTCAAAGAGAAGTCATCACTATTATTATTATTTAATTTTTTATGTAAGTCAGATATTGTTTTTATTGTATATGATATAGGTTCTACACGTCCTCCAAATGGGGGATCACATATCAAGTAAGTGTCTTTTCCCCCATTTTGAGTGATAAAGTCTTTGAACACATTGATTGCATCTTTGTTGAAAAAGTGATGATTAAAAAGATTGTACCAACAATATTCCAGAGGACCAAAGAAGTTATGCTAAAATTATTAAAAAATATACTTATTAGAACTATTATATAAAGTTACTGGAATATATTTTACAATATGATATGCAATATAATTGTTCACTTTTGTCTCTTCCTTTAAAAATACTTACAAATCTTCCATCAAAATCTAAAAGGAGAGAGGATATTTTGTCTATATGATGATCAGATATATATTCATGTATTCTTGGCGTTCCTATACAAAGGACCTGCTTAGCTTCAAGCTTTAAAAGCATGTTTATTATATCTTTAGTAGACTTTTTGGAAAATAAATATTGAGCTTCCTTCTTTACATTATTTAAAGGTTTCAGAAACTCTGTTGGATGATGTATTTGATAATCTGTCAAATTCTCTGATATTTTGTGATTGTTATGTTTATCTTTTTCAGAGATAAGAATTAGTTTCTCACAATCATGACAGTAACATCTCTTCATCACAGATTCTGCTTTAATCTCGTTCAAACGTATAAACAATTTTTGATGATGATAGCATTGCACAAGGTTCTTCCTCTCTTGCTCCCATATGCTTTTTTGAGACTTGGACAATTTCTGCTCATATGTTAAATAGAATCTGCACAATTTTCTGTCACGACAAGCAGAACACGCATAAAATTTCTCTAATTCACCGTTAATATATCTACCAAACAACAATGTTGGTCCTGTAAAGAAGAAGTTAGTTATCTTGAAATAACGATTTTTTACATAAAACTAATAAACTTGAATGTTTACAGATATGAAAATTACCGTGCGGACATTGCGGATGCTTTTTGAGATCTCCCCACAAACATTCCACACCGCGCACATCGTTCATCCTGACTTACTGCGTAAACAACGCATATGTGAGCTCACGTTGGTGTATATCAAAATCATGAAGTAAGTAGAGAAGGAGGTCGAACCAATTGAGAATAAATTAGCTGAAAAGAATAACTTCTTATGCAGGATTCACACCGCGTCCGATGTCCGACGTCCGATATCCAATAGGAGAACTGGGCCCCTATTCTTGAAATTTTTGTGTATACGTAATTTTCATTCAATCATACTATTTTATAGTATGATTAAACCTGCGCAGTAAAACTTATGTATACGCAACCATTTCAAGAATAGGGGTCCAGTTTTCTAATATAGAATTCAATTCTCCATTGGAAAGCTATTCTTTTATTGGATATTGGACGTAGTACGTCGGACATCGGACGCGGTGTGAATCCTGCATTATGGTTGGGCGCCATTTGTATCCCTTATTATAGAAGAATAATCGTGATCTATGGCCGGTATTCATAGTCGGATCTTATATTTAAGACCCAATGACGTACATGCATAGATCAAGCATTCTGTCCGCAAAGTAAAGCCGGAAGTTGGCAGTTTAAAACAGAGTGAGAAAATTGATTTGCCCCTAGTGCTTCCTCACTCTATATTATTGACTGTCAAGAAAGAGGGTTCGTTTAACACTGCAAATACTTTAAAACGTTAAATAAAGCAATTTGATCCATTCGTCGCTCTGAAGCACTTACAGCACTAGATAGAACTATTTACAGCACTATATACAGCACTAAACCTTATCCGAGAATCTTATTCCGTCATAGCAACCTAATCCTTTTCATGTGACAATAGAATGAGAACAGGATAAGAGCAATTGCTGTGATTATTTATACATAGCATAAAATATTATAAATATCAATTTTATATCGAGATAAGTAAAATATACGGTATTGTTCTTTTAATTCTGCATTGCATTATATATAGCACTTGACAGCGGCCATATTTTATACGATAAAATGAGAAAGCACTAGGAGCAAATCAACTTTCTCACTCTGTTTTAAACTGCCAACTTCCGGCTTCACTCGCTGCTGCAGCAGAAGTATAGGAATGCTTGGTCTGTAATACGTCATTGTTAAGACTGTCTTAAGATTATCTTCAGGTGTTTTGTAGCCAATGAAATCATCCGAAGACCATCTAAAGATGAATTTAAGACGGTCTTATGGCTCCTGCACACAGGACGCGGTAATGCTTGCCGCGCGGCGGAAGTCCGCGCAACAACCAGTCAATATGTTGTTTTTCCGTAAGAGCTAGAAGGTTATTACGGAAAGCAGCATATTGGCCGTTGCGCGAACTTCCGCCGCGCGGCAAGCATTACCGCGTCCTGTGTGCAGGAGCCATTAAATATAAGATCCGACTATGAATACCGACCTATGGGTCTGATTTCTGTTCCTGCACTGCTGAACTAGTGCAATAAGTTAGAATGAGACAAGTATATTTTTTCTCGCTCTAACTTATTGCACTAGTTCAACAATGCAGCTAAATAGAATAGACTGCAAAGTTAAATTTTGGAACGCACCCCTGAACTGGCCGTTTGGCGCTAAATATGAAATTTGAATGTCTAAAGGTCGTATTTCAGATTAATCAATTACGCGTTACAAGCAAAATAAAAAATTATTTTAAATGTAACGAATGGTTCATTTAAAGGAAAATTTTTAGATAAAAAGTTGTAGAGGATTCAATTAAGATTCACAAGTCAAATGCGTTTTATTGTTATTTGTTCTACAAGTGCACACATTGTCAATGCTTACTGTCCGGCATATACTTACGCGAATTTTCTTTTATTATAATCTCATAAGAACATAATAGCAAATACGTGTGTATAAGGCATATCAAGCCTCTACAGTCTCTACATACAATCCTTCCGAAGTACAATTTTTTATCCCGCAAAGAAAATAGGTATATCAGGGAACGATTAATATTAATTCTTATC